CCTGAACCTCGAGCCCAAAGAGCCAACGCTCACACAGGCAATGACAACCCAAAATGTCAAAAACCAACTCTTTTATTTCAAGTCTGTTCCTTTTGCTTGATGATTTACTTTGATGATAAAGTCACCAAGGTCAAATCATTCTAGATTCCTCCTTCTTCCCCAGTCCTCACATCCAATCAGTGTCCACATCCTGTGTGTCCTACTGGCTCACATATTCTAAACCTGTTTCCTTTCCCAACTGGGCCATGGCTCTGGTCCAGGACTGTTTTAAAAGATATATATATATATAAAACAAATTTTATCACAGCAGTAATCTATTTTCATTGTATTACCACCTGTAAACCCAGAGTTTGGGTATCTATACTTTTTAGAGTTTGCCTGTGATCTGTGGGGAAATAGAAGATAATGGTAAAGAGTCCATGAAGTTAAAGTCATATTGATTTTGTTTCAAATTCTGGGTCCACCACTTCCTATCTAGATAACTTTAAGTAAGATTGCTAATTCCCAGGCCGGGCGCGGTGGCTCACGCCTGTAATCCTAGCACTGTGGGAGGCCGAGGTGGGCGGATTGTTTGAGCTCAGGAGTTCGAGACCAGCCTGAGCAAGAGCGAGACCCCGTCTCTACTAAAATTAGAAAGAAATTAATTGGACAACTAAAAATATATACAAAAAAAAATTATCCGGGCATGGTGGCGCATGCCTATAGTCCCAGCTACTTGGGAGGCTGAGGCAGGAGGATTGCTTGAGCCCAGGAGTTTGAGGTTGCTGTGAGCTAGGCTGACGCCACGGCACTCACTCTAGCCCGGGCAACACGGTGAGACTCTGTCTCAAAAAAAAAAAAAAAAAAAGATTGCTAATTCCCACTTTTCTCATCTGAAAAAAATTAGACAATAATATACTCCAACTAGATTACCATGAATATTAAAAGAGATAATGTTTGTAAAATGTTTAGCATCATGCCTGACCTCTGGTAAGCATTCAAAAAATCATAGTTATTATTATTCCTTACAAATACAGCAATATACTATTCACTGATTGTAACTTTTTTTCACATAGTATTATATTATGGATATCTTTTGATGTCAAAATATACACTTATACATTTTCATGGTATTTCACTGTATAGATATATCATAACATATTTAATTAGCCACCTCTATTCTTTTGGATTTTTTCTAATTTTTGCCAGTATAAAGAAAATGGCAACAAATTTAACCATAAATATTTGCATGCTCATCTTATTATCCCTCTGAACAAATTTCTGAGTCCAATGAGGAGCATGGTTTTCAGGCCTTTGCCACATGCCAACTGTTCTCTGGAGGGATTCCAATTTATATCATTCCAATTTATATAATCCCAACAACAATGAAATTACCCAGTGTCTCCAACCTAACCTCCTATCTTACAATCCTCCACTCTGACTGTTCTAAAATGCAAATATAATATGTAACTCCTGGAGTCACAACCTTTCAGCGGTTCCCAGCCATACACAGAACAGAAGCTTTGCTTTTTCTTAAACCCCATTCCTGCTTCCCCTCTGCCCCTGTCTCTCTACACACCTCACTGGCCGGTCAGTATGACCTGATTTTCCCTCCAAACACCTCCAAATATCCTCCCTTAGAGATCTAATAGACATCTCACACTCAATAGGCCCCAAATTGAAATCATGACCTTCCCTATCTGGCAATTCCATCCTTCTAATTTCTCAGGGCAAAAACCCTCAAGTCACTTTTGACTTCTTTATTTCTCTTACAAGTCACATCTTTTCCATCAAGAAATCCCAATGGCTCTAACTTGAAAAAAATTCCCCAGAATCCAACCACTTCTCTACTTCCAATGATGATACCCTGGTCTGAGCCACCATCATTTTTCACCTGCATTATAAGAACCTCCTAAATAGTCTCCCTATTTCTATGTTTGCTCCCCTGTAGTCTATTCTCAACACAAAAGCCCGAGGGATCATTTTAAAACATGGAACAGGTTTCCAAGCCTTTGCTTCGAACCTCCGTGTCACTCAAGGTAAATCCAAATTCCTAAAGATGGTCCACAAGGCCCTACGTGATTTGGTCCCATTGCCCCTCTGACCTCATCTCACACTGCTGTCCCCTCGTGGCTTCACTCTAGCCACATTAACTCCTTGCTAGTCCTCAAATACCCTCAGCAAGTTCCCGCCTTAAGGCTTTAGCACACACTGTTCTTTCTGCCTGGAATGAGCTTCCTGAGATGTACACAGAGCTCAACTCCCTGCCCTCCTTCATATCTTCACTGGAATGAATGATACCCAGACTACCCAACCTCATAGTGCAAGAGGTTCCTCCTCTCAATTCCCCTTTTTCTGCTCTGTTTTTATTACTTTTAGACCACTGACCAAACACTAACACACTATGTAATTTACTTCCTGTATTTATTTTTATTTGTAGAATTTAAGCTCTAGAAGAACAGCGATCTTTATATGTTTTGTTCAATAATGTATTTCAAGTGCCGAAGAACAACACCTGGCACACAGTAGGCACACATCAAGTAAATGTTTATCAAGTGAATAAAATATCCCAGGCAGTTTCATGCCCTACATTTCATGCTGCACATCCAAATGATTTGTGGGGAGAGTCAAGAAAGTAAAGAAATAAGGCAAAACGAAGGAGGGCAAATGGCTTATCACAAGGTAGATGGCCCATGCTCCAGCCAAAGGGAACAGCTGCTCAAATCCACCGGATTGTTACCCAGATGGAAAGTAGCCCCCCTACTGCCAGGGGGTGAGGGATGCACCTATATCCATGTATCATTAAGATGGTGGTCCAAACTCTTACATTTAACCTTTTAGTTTTAGAATTCTGGCAGTTGTCAATTGTAAGCAACAGGCAAAAAACCGATTACTACCTGATATCTACAGCATTTAAATTTATCTTGAACTTTTATTTGTTGTTCTGTAATTGTTTCCAATGTATATTTATGTGTATGTATATTTATTCTCCCTAACAAAATGACACCAACTTAAAAACAAAATTCTGGAAATTGATTAAAAATTTTTAACCAAAATGACAGGCCAAATGGGCCTCCACTGTGGGTTGTGGTGTCAAAAAGCTTCCCCTGCAGATTAGATCTCTCTCCTCTAGGGATACCTGAATAACACAGACTTGTTTTTC